CATGAAACACCTAGTTATCTTTGTGTAGTCATGAAACACCTTATCACTTCAACTTTTTCAATATAGTTCCATACCTTAGAGGTATTAAGTTCAATTTTTTAGCCTTTTCAATATTTTGGTCATGGTCATTAATAACCATACTCTTGCTTTTATTATCAATAATAGTAACAAAAGGATTAGTAGCAACAAGATACTCTCTCTCTCTATGTTAAATGAAGTTTCCATTGTACCTAAATCATCCTCCAAGCTATCAAAAAATGTCATCAATATTCATGACTGCAATATTGAAAACTAAACAAGTTTACTCATTTAGTTTGTAGTTCCCGCTATGTTATAAAACAACAACAAACCAACATAATTCTTAGTTTAATTCACAAGTAACAACAACAATCAATAAAGTAACAAGTCAAAATTTAATTCACGATTTTCAATCCGCACAATACAAGTCTTAAAAAATAAAATAACATATTTGGTATTTGGTAAGAGTTGGAACCAAGAGAAAATACCAACAATAAACAATAAAGCAAAAAGTGATAACTCAACGACAACGTGAGTATTGAGTATAGAGTCAGTCGTGTTGGTGTCCATCGTTTGAGTGGTGATGGCGAGTCATTATTGTGACTCTATGAGTACAAATACAAGCGTGACTACATGTTGTCTTTGACAATTAGGTCATAAGGTCAAGTCATCAAAGATGTAATAGGAGTGATGAAACTCTTATAGTAATTAATTCTAACTTTAAATTTATAACCACAATTCTATAAACAAATAAAAAAGAATGAAAAATTATTATTGTTATTATATTATATTATTTTATAATATTTATTACAAATTTATATATTGACAATAGTTTAGATTATTTCATTAATATTATTTTAATGCCTAATTTGACATTATTTGTGGGATGGTCAAACCAAATTGACAATTACGATGATATTTTTTTTATATTATTATTTTATTATTTGTCATTGTGACCTATTGTAAAAGTTTTTTTTTATTATTTTTTTTTAAGTTGCAACCAGTCACAATAAAACAAATTTTTTTAATTTGATTGTCGCCAAAAACCGATGTAAAATCAATAATCAATAAATATTGAGTTCATATTAGCCCCTTATCTTTTATTTTGCCGTCTCCTTTATGATTTCTACTATTTCGCCTTTTCAATTTTCACCAATACTATTTTATGTGCCAATTGGTTCTAATTTCTGAAACCTTAGTTTTTATTCTTGATTTTGTTCTTCTTGCCACTAAAGCTAATTCTTCCCTATTATGCTAACATAATATCACATCACCTCAAATTCTAAATTCTTTTGTATAATTGATTTTCTCTCTCTCTTACTGTTAATGCACAACCATTTCATCCATTTCAAATTTATGTTCTTCTTTAAGCGATATATGAATGTTTCATAGACAATCCTTAACATATATATTTTGTATAGTCTAGTGTGCCTCTACAACAAAAGAACATTAAATAAAAAATAATACCATTGTACCTTCCATTTCACCATAACTCCTTGGGGCATTCAAATTAAAAACAAAAAGAAACTTCTTTTGCTGTGGTTCGTTGCAACTTTTTTAAAAAAACATTCATGATGGACTACAATGACAAACAATAAAAAAAAAAAAAATACTGTTGCAACCAGTTGGGACATACCAAATGCTGCAATTGATTGCAATGACATTAGCATCCAAACAACGTGCTCTAGTTAAAGCAATTTTTAGGTTAAAAAATTAATGAAAAATAAATAAATGATATGATAGAGGTGTCGCTAGTGACATCCCAAAGTGATAAATTATTTCTAAACAAACTTCATTTTAATATTAAGTTTTAGAAACTATTTTAATGTAGTCACAAGGACTCTTTATCACCGTATCAAATCCATTATAGTTGTTTCATGTGATTCACTACGACAACACAAGTTTATAAATTAAATCAAATAAAATTTTTATTATGATATTTAAAATCAAACCAATTTAACTAAAACTTTTAAACATTTAAAAAATGAAAAAAAAATATAAGCTTAAAATTTAAAGAAAAATATATTATATAGATTAATTTTATTAAAGTTTGTTTGGTCCTTTTCTTACTCTTTTCTTTATGTGGTTTTTTTTTTAATGAATCGAGAGTATTATTTTTTTTTAAACCAAAGACTAATCTTTTAATATATTACTCCCTCCATTTTTTATTTATAGTCGTTTTTATCAAAATTTGTCGTTTTTTTTTTTCATTGTCATTTTACTAAAATCAATGATTTATTAATTTTTTTTCTCTTTTTTATCCTTGATAATTAATGTATGTTTACTGAACAATTTGTCTATTTATTTCTAATGTCTATCTATTTTTTCTCTAACCACTTATGTGAAGTTAATGTTGCATTTAAAAGGATAATATGTTTCCAATGAAATACTTATAAAAAAATAGAAGATAAAATAGAAAAATAAGTAATAAATATTTTTAAAAGCTAAAATTTCAATCATTTTCTTAAGTTCTGTGCAAAACCTTAAACGACTATGAATAAGAAAATGGAAGGAGTAACATCTATTCCATAATGACCCTAAAAATGCATCCATTCAATAATAAATTAATCTCTGTTAACATATGCTTCAAAAACACTAATTATTATTACCATACAACGAATTAAGGCCACGTTTATTGCGCTGGCTTTAATTTTTACACATTTCCCTGCACAGGGATTATGAAAGGCGTCTAGATGTATGTGCTAACTAGGTACGTAACACGTGATAATTAAAGTTAATTATTGTTGTAGACTTGTAGTTTTTGGTAATTATGCAATTTATAATATTATGACGACCATAGAAAATAATATTATTGCAAATTTCAATTTACAATTACATATAAAAATCTAAAATTATAGATATTTAATAAAATCTAGATAAACATTTATTTAAATTCCATATTAATATTTAAAAATATATTATATGATTATTACAATCCCCCAATAAGAGATTTTAGTATTGAAATGATGTATATTTTATATGAGTTTAATTTTCATGTCTTTTTAGTGTATGATATTTTTTTTATATTATTAGTCAATTATAAATCTTATCGAGTATAATTTTAAAATAATTATTATAAAAATTTAAAAATTTATCATGTATAAAAATTTATAAAAAATAACAATGTAAAAAATAAAATTAGTGCATTTTATTTTATATAAGAAAAATAATATTCAGTGCTCCTAGAAACGACAAACTTTTAGTCATTTTGGGTGGTTGCAATTTACCAATAAAGTATTTTGCTTTGAGGAAAGTCTTTCACTTACACCCCCTTTGACCTTTAACAAAACGCATGCAACTAAATAGTTACACGACAAGTCTACAGAAAATTTTACACATCCAATTCATTTTAGTTCACTAAAATTCCTTTATCCATAGGTTCATTGCATGACAGATAGAAAACATCAGAATAGGTGGAACAAGTTTTATATATCTTTCGTGGGAAAATTTGGCTACTTTTCTTTTTTACTTTTTAGTCAATTTGGGAAGCTATTCGACAATTTCACGGATACATTCCTAATCAAATCAAGGAAGTATCAAGAACCAATAATGATTAGTTGGCAATGGATTTCCAACTACAACTAGCAAAATAACTTTTGGTGGATAAAAACACGGACTTAGGCAAAGGTTTTTAATTGGTTCAAGCTAAAATAAAAGAATTTAATTTTCATATATTGTCGGATTAAAGATTTTTTAATTATTAAATTGTTTTAAAATATTTTAAATTTTAATTTTAAAATAAGTATTACAAAACTAATACTAATCTTTTAAAATTGAAATTTAATGTGATAAAATTTTGTTTTGTCTACGTTCTAATTAAATTCTTAAATTAATTGCAACCTCCAAAGCTTTTCAAAATAAAGGGATGTAAAGAGGATTGCGATACAGTAACTTCTTTCTTTGTTTTGTAGGCTTACTATAATTTTAATTACAAGATGTAAGATTCCTTTTATATATTTTAATTCTTGAAAAATATATTTTTTTTTATTCATGTGCTCTTTAAGAATTATTTTTATTAATTTGATCCATTAAATTTTAATATATTATTTAATAATCAGATCGCATTTAGAATTTTTTTTGTAAAGCTTAAATTTGTTAAATAGTTTATGATTCTTATTTCATCTTAAGAAAAAGGATAATTATTTTAAATATTTGAATAAGTTTGATGGTGATAAATAAAGTTCTCATGTTGATGTTAACATAAGTTAGAGATGTGAAAGTAAACACTTTTATTAAAGATCAGGTGTTTGCGTTATTTTAATATTTAGAGATTAACTGTGCAGATTTCCTGACAAATTAGTGGGTTGCAAGAACAGAAACACAAGTTGGTCATGCTAGATGCAACTCCCACACGACCAGGATTCCCAGTAAGATCATGTGGTTATTATTATCAAACGGTCCAAATATTTTAGATATATATATATATATATATATATATATATATTTT